AGGAGCAAAGCAACGGCAAAGCTTGCAACGTTTCTGGTTCATCCGTTCGGTAGCAGTTGTAGAGTCATATTAGACTCGTAGGAATATGAAAAATGATGGTACCGCACCTTCCGAAATTCATTCACTTCGTCGCGACCAAGCAGGGAACGTTCTCCGTGGGGGAGGAGATTGATCGACTTTATTGGCTTTTTTGCCAAATTTTGCAAGGTATTGACATTCCAGCAAATAAAAACGCTGCCGTGGAACAGAACTGACCAGCTTTGGTAAGACCACTGGGAGAAAATGCTGGTTCCCAGCTGTCCAACGAAATAAATTTCGACCTTCGGGAGAGGTTGAGAATAAAAATGAAAAACAAAATATTATTCAGGGAGAATATGCTCAACATACCAGCACATGTGCAGGAGGGGCACAATTTTCACGCCTTCTTTAATTCATGCTCTACAACACAGCAAGGGACGACTGAGCGCTTAAAAAACCAGCATATCGCGCTACGTGACACCAATCAGTCCAGCTAGCAACATGCACGAGACAAAAATGACATTCAGGCGGGTCTCTGACAAATTCAAGATATGTGCAAAGTAATATGACTGTTCAACGTAAGAATGTAGAGGCAGAAAATAGCACGAGGGAAGTGAACAAGCCCGATATCCCGTGATGCTTAGAATCAGGGACTTTTGGAGTCTTCGGCCCAGCAAATTATGTTTATCGTGCTAGAAATGTTGACAGTGTTAAAATAGCAGTGAAGGACTGCGTGATCATTTATCGCCCATATTTTTGGTCAATGAAGACTGGGCTAGTGAAGCGGCAACGTAATATGATAATTCTTTTGTGCGACGACGAGTGATGAGTTGCTGACGCCAGGTGTGTTTCATGTGAGGATGTTATAACTGTTATGTTGGGCCTGCTCTATGTTTCCTCACAACATTACTCCCCGCTTACCACAAATACTCCCTTTCTCTCCCTTAACGGTCGTTTTGGAATTGAAGTGAAACTTTCCGATGAAATCAGAAAAGTAATGCACATATCGCGGTGAATGGCTAAAGGTTAAAGTTTGGAACGCTACCATATGGTTTTGTCGGAGCATTCCAAGACTTGTATTCGAGCAGTCGGCAAGCCCAATGATATGGATAATGGTTCCGACCTGGCGTTTGGAAATTGTCTTTCATGTTTAACAGCCTGACAACGATGCAAATATTATGGAAAAGAAAATGATGTCTCAACCATCGCAAAAGAAAAGCTCAATCTTTCCACAGAGCGGAGAAGCTAAACTGCTCTACACGTTTCGGTGGCACGGTGGCCACATCCTGCGGAAATGGCCGCCGATTCCCGCTTATCACAATACACTTAAGTTGGCCACTGTTGGCCACTGTTTACTGTTTGAATTCGTTACTGTTGGGTTTGCTAAGCGTCACTTCACGCCAAACGGCTTAAGTCGAAAGGAGTGTCTTTAATTTATATGGGGTTTTAAACTGAAGTAGCCATCTTAAAAAGCCCTCGGTGCTGTTCACATCCTGCCCTTCTTAAGACCTAAGCCCCTCTGGTTTCTGAGCTAAACACTCGCAAAAATGGACAAACGTATATCGGGGAGAGCATTTCAAAACCACCTTGGCAGTCGTGACGTTATAATGATGTCATTGTCATTGTCATTGTCATTGTCATTGTCATGTCATGTCATGTCATGTCATTCAAATCCTGCCATTTCATAAACCATGCGGTGATCAAGGTCAAGAAAATTGTTTTGTCGAGGCGGTCACATCTGCCGCTCGTGAACGCATTTTCCAGACATAAAGGCCTCCAATTGGCTCTCAGTCAATGTTCTGCAAGGTGCGATGACGTCATCAAACCATGACGCATTGAGGAGCATATCTAGTGAACAGATAATCGTGCTGTCTAGAGCAGTCTTTTTCACTTAAAGAGGGTACCAGTAATCATAAGAGATTTTTTCATCATATTTGAAGCTTGCTTTGATATCTCCAAATGTGGAGCATTCCTCTTAAGTGTAGCTCCAAAGGCCCTAACTGCATCGTTGCACTGTAGCCAAGAACATCCCCCAAACCGATGCGGCGTCATGTAAAGGTTGCTCAGTACGTCCCCGTTCCATAGTCTTAAAATCAATGTTTGTGGTGTGGTAGTCGCTGAAGGGCTTTCTCAGGCTGGGGCATTGTGACACAGGCACCACATGCAGCATATGTAACCAAAATGGCGGCGCAGGTCAGGGTTGCATCACCAACAAGTACTACACAAATCCTAGTGCCATAATGTTTGCATTTCAACGACAGCGCGTAGACATCTACAACCGCTCAATCCATCTCATCATATGAACGCTCCAAAAAACGCGCGACACACAAGAACGATAGAAGCAAACGCATGACACATAACACTAAACAAACACACGACATACAACAGTACAAACAAACGTACAGTACACAAGAACACTACAAACAACCGTATGGCACAAAGAACAGTGAAAGCAAACACACGACACACAACTCTACAAGCTCACGACCCTGAGGAGCACCACAAACAAATGCACGGCACACAGCAACACTACAATAAGACGAACAACACACAACGACGCTACAGGCTAACGCAGGAGACATAGAAAAACGACAAGCAAACACACTACACACAAAACACTACGAACAAACGCACGGCACACAAGAACACTACAAACGAACGCACGACAGCACGAAGCCGCACCATTTCAGGGTACTCACCTGACCCGGGCGAACCTTCCTCCACACGTGTTTCCTCACAACTACCCAGCCACCATGAATGTTTGTGAGAGATTCTGGTCGGCGGAGAGCGGACAAGCGGTTGGAACTATCTCACGAGGCCTCAATCCACGCGGCTGGCACTACGATCCCGGTGTCCATATGGGCAGGGGCGGACACAGCCGCAGAAACAGCGGAGGACGCAGCCACGGAAGCAGAGGAGAACGCAGTCGTGGAAGCAGAGGAGGACGCAGTCGCGGAAGCAGAGGAGGACGCTTGGACAGCGTCACCCCGCCCATATCACCATTGCGCGATCTAATCGCAGACCGTCTAGGGTGCGGCTTGTGTTTGCCAAACGAAAGGAGACGATTCTGAGGTTCAGGTCATGCGCCGGTCCGTTGGCATCGGCAACGATACTTGCCATTCAAACACAATCAGCATTTGAGAGCATCGGCCACGCTTTACGCCTCCTCCTCCACGCGCCCTAGCACCCCCGAAACGGTTTCCTGTAGCCGCTGCTGCGCTCTTCGCACCCCCGAAACGGTTCCCTGCAGCCGCTCCTGCGCTCTTCGATCCTATTATCGAGCCCATCATTCCCGCTGTTTGGCGCGATTGGAGAAGCGGCTCGTCGAATCTCCATGCTCGCTATGTAACGGTGTCACGTCACCGCTGGTGCGTGCGGAGAGCCCCGACGACAGGTGACGTCACCGAACTACCGGTGACGTCAGCGGGCGATAATATGACGCCAGACGTCTCAGCAGTAGCTATCTTGCCGCTGAAGAGTTGGAGCTCGTTGTCCGTTAGCCAACCATTTTAATGAACAACTACATCATTAAAAGAACGAGAGAACAAGTAACAACGTTTTCAATGAAACCTGAAATATCTTAAGCAGCGGAGACAGATCATGGTGCAATCACTGGACTGGTCAAGCAGACATGCATCTTAGAAACACAGATTTTTCCCTCGTTTTTACTTATATCTGCCTTCTAGGTTGCACAGAAAATCAAAAGGCAAACCTTACATGACGTCCTGCGCATCCCCGCGCTCACACCGCCTACCGCCGGCCAGAATGGAGCAGCTAAACCGCCGACACGATTGTCGAAAACAGCAGCGCGGTTTTTGGTAACCCAATAGCTGGTCTGAAGCGGTTCTAGTAGCGGGGAGGTGACGAACGCGTCTAACACCTGGCGGAGGGGGAGCGAGACGATCGCACACAAGGTAGCAGCAGGCACAGACTAACAGTTGCTATCGGTGCAAGTCTGGTTGTAAGTGAGTCCCATCGTGGTGTCGATGCTGTGAGCAGCTTTTGCCAGTTGTGAGAACACGCTCAACGTATGCCAAGGCTGAATCGGAACACGTATCCTCCATGCATGTGCGTGAAACTATTTACGATCTTGTGTCGCGACTCTTTTGCCATGGTGAGTAGATTTATAACGGTGCTGGTTTAGTGTCGTCTGAGCCGCATTCGGCGATGCGTCTATGCTCTGTTATTTGGCGTGCCTCATTAATAAGGCCAGACGTTATCGGTGAGGCCATTGTCGGGATAGTGGTTCGGGCAGGTAGACGCTGACGGCCGGTTTATTTTCATTGTTTCTTTTAGGTATCTATTTAGGCCAGGCGCACGGAAAAATCTTTCCGTATTCACACCAACGAGCCGGTGAGAGTTGAGGGGACCACGGTCACTCTTTTTCATGCGTGTGGCTTGGGAAATCATGTAGTAGCAATTGTGCATTTATTTTTAGAATAGCTTTCGGCTGATGGCCGTGAGCTCCGCCGAAATATCCAGACTATTGGTCATTGAATGACCCAGGGACTAGCCGTAGGCGCTCCTCCTTGCACGCATTGCAAACAAAAAACCAAATCGCAGAGAAACTCAGATTTAGCTTATTTCAAAGGAGCACATTTTTAGCGTCGAGAGATGAGACTTAACGTCAAAAGCGTTAAAACTGCTGAATGACAATTCGTTGTCATATCACGCAATCATGAGGTTCTGTTTACGTACAAAACAAGCAGCGCGGTGCATACAACGTGCGGTTATCTAATCAGGTTGAGATGCTACTGACTTTTGTTTTGGTGGTCTTTCACTTCCCGATGATACCAATCTGCGTAGCAACCGACAATTGTAATCTCTCTACTAAACCTAGCTATCATCCGCTATTTCTGTTCCTTTCGCTGACTTACCACCCGCCTGTGCTTTTGGTTGGCATTCATAGACCTTAAAACGTTTCATCCTTGCTTGTTTATTCGCCCTACGTATGTGTTCTTAACTGGCTACAACTTGCATGGCCTGCTCGTTTCAGTTCGTCGCCCCTAGAGCCCCACTTCAGACAGATCTGTCGTATCTTATCAGGTATGCCAAGTTCATAACGTCGATAGCCGGCGAGTGCGGCCCAGGCGCGGATCACAGCGACGATTTCTGCGCAGCGCCTCACAGTGATGTCTGAGAGCGTGCGCAGGGACCCGTGGGTCACGGAAGCCTGCGAATAGGGCTAGAGTGGCAGGCGGCACGGGCGCCCAGTGAACCTGAGCCCCGGAGAAAAGCGGGGAGGAGTAGGACGGTGTCAGATCTGGAGAGGGACAACCGAGGACATCTGCGAAGCTGCGTGAAATTGTGCGCGTGTGGTTCGGTGCAAAGAAAACTGAGAAGATCCTTCTACACTGAAGCGCCGCTACTGATCCAACCCACTAATTGCCATCAAACTCTTCTGCAGCCGTGTGCGAAACAAAATGATCTGAGCAGAAACTTCCAGTTTCTCTGGGAAGTCGGTTTCCATCTACAGGTGAAACAACAGGCGAACTAATCAGCCAGCCAACAAACACACCCAACCAAAAGGAGCACCAAATCAAGCTGACCAACTAACCCATTAAAAACGCTCAAACAACCACTAAACAACACTTGCATTCATCAGTTTCTGACGGCCATCAGCATGTGGACGCTACTCCTGGTCGCCATGGCAACGACGACGGCTGTGCTTGTCTTCACGCGGTCCAGTCCTCCAAGTCGCATGTTCTCAGTCTACTCCCAGCCGGGCCTTACGTATCCAGTCAAGGTAGCCATCTTCTGGTTGTTGCTGCATCCTTCGGCGTCTTTCTGCCCTCCTCCGCTCCGGGCGACAGCGCGGCCGGGCGGCGGTTGCGGGGTACGGGGTGCGGCTGCACGCCTCCGCCGCGGCCATGGAGCAGGTGCAGCCGCTGGGGCCGCACCCGCTAGCGCTGGACTCCGTCTGGGTGCAGGGTGCGAGCGCGGAGGGTGCGTGGCTGGTGGCTGGCGTCGCCCGGCGCCCCAGGCGCCAGCTCGACGCTGTGTGCCTGGTGGGGGTGCCCGGACTAGGCACGCTGAAGCTGCCCCGCCACCCCGACACCCTGCTCGTCGCCTCCAATGACGTCTTCGGCGGCGAGGGCCTCCTCATCCGCCTCGTCGAGCCGATGGTCTGCTGGAAGATCAACTACGCCGGTCCCATGCGCCTCGACGAAACAGGAGAGCTGGTGGACGTCGTCCTTGACCTGACCTTCACCTCGACCCTGCCCTGCTTCGACTTTGACACGGACATGGCGCCGCGAACGGTGGCGCGCGCCATGGCGCGCGAGCCTTGGAGCCGTGAGTTCTTCGCGCGTCTGCGCGACGCCCACCAGACTCACTACGAGCAGATCGGCACGACCAGAGGCCGCGTGACGGTGCGTGGGCGTGAGTACGCGCTAAGCGTGACCGGCATGCGTGACCACAGCTTCGCGGCGCGGCGTGACTGGCGCCTGCTGCATCGCTACGCCCTGCACACCATCGTCACGGAGGACGACGTGCGCGCGCAGGTCGGCGTCGTCTCGCAGCCCTACTCCTTCTCCAGGATCGAGCTGGGGTACGTGCACACGCCCGAGGGCACGCTCGAGGCGCTGGAGTGGTGCGACCTTGAGCTTGGCTACCACGGCGAGCAGGGCGACGACCCCTGGGACTACGGCTTCAGCTTCGGCGCGGCCAGCAGGACGTATCACGTGCTGGTCGAGGTGCGGGAGCGGCAGGAGCTCTTCTGCGGCCGAGAGTGGGAGGCACGGCTGCTGGAGAGACCGTGTCGGTACCAGGTCAACGGGGTCACCGGCTGGGGGATGTCCGAGTGGTACTATCGGCATGAGGCCGGCCGGCCGGCAGCGTACCCCTGCGAAGAACCCGCACTGGGTCAGGGACACGAACAGTGATTCAGGACGGTGCCAGTGATGAGATGTTGATCGCAATGCCCGCTTTGTAGATTGTGCTGCTAATTCGGTGGTTCACCGTCGGTGGATGTTTCGTTGGATGGTTGGGTGTTATTTTGGTGGCATAAGTCTTATCACGTTAAGGTTAGCAAACTGCTAAGTAGTGCCCCAGTAAGTGAACCCGGTGGTAAATGAAAATACTTCGGGTGTTAGATCTGCGGTGCCTGCAGTATGTGGCAAGAAGAGGATGTCATGTCAGAAACCACGTGGTCCAAATGACACTCTCGTGGCGCATAATATACCGTAAAGGCGTCATCTATCGTGTGCTTTACCAGCGCAATCGAAATTACTGGCCGAAAGAATCGGCGGATGTGAGTGTGTGTAAACACCAGTGACGTCAGTAATTTGAGGTATGCGACTTTCCTTTTATTTTCATCCGTGCTGCGTTAGTGCGGTGAATGCGCCGTGCAGGGGCAGGGTCTTCCGATTCTGACGGCAGCCGTTTGTTGGTGAGAAGGCGCCAACAGCCGAAACATTTATCCTTGACAGTGGCCATGTTAGCCACGTTAACCCACTAGCCAAAATGACTGCACCGATGCAGGTGGGAATACAGTCGGTAAGGATCTTTGCTGCATGGAGGTTTCCATACCACGCGTTGTTCAAGTTTGTGGCAGTTGCAAGTCATTTGCGAAGTTTGGTTGTGGTTCGGGTGCAATTCAATTCAAACGTTGAGTGCTGTTTGGCGGAGAAAGCGCGCTAAAATTGCTGGATCTAAGTAAAAATTATAAAATCACAGATATTTCAAAGAAACTTTCCAAGTCGTGAAGGTCCGGAGCCATTATGCACATACTTCCCGGTTCCATAACATTTTTACTGCAACAAAAATGAAAAAAGTAAAAAAAAAAATATTATGCCCGTAACTACTCTACCGCAAACACGTATACAGTCATCACTCGTATACAACATAACTTCTTCTGCAATAATGGCAAATATGGTCGTAATGGCTCCAGCCCTTCACGTTTTAGGATGTATCTTTGAAACGTGGGTTGTGAATTATTTCTTTGTACCAGATCCAGCAATTTAAGAGTATTGAAAAACTGCAGCACTTACTTTCACACCAAGGACAACCAATCAACAAACATGACAGATCAATGACACAATAAATAAACATAGCGTGACATAACAAATAGATGATTTTGATATCGGCGCCACGAACTTCTAATCGCAGTATTTCCTAACTAGGTTCCCGCCTAACCTCTAAGTGTTTCTGCACCCTTTTAAGTGCCCATGTATCTAACACTCCACGGCTGAGTAATGGCAGCAGAAGTAACGACAGACAGACATTTTTAAAGCACAAGTTTTGTCGTTTAGCTCCAAATGTCGCGTGTAGGTTTGGTAGTGAATTTTATGTCGTGTATTAGTAATGACTATATAAGTTTATGCAGTAGAAGTGATGACGTGTATGTATTTTTGAAACATAAGTTTTGTCGTGTAGCACTAATGTTTCAAAAACATATACACGTCATCACTTCTACTGCATGAACTTATAGAGTCATGTAAGTCATGTAAGTTTTGTCGTGTAGCAGTAATGTCGGGTATAACTCTCGGCAGTAGAAGGATTGCAGTGTATAAATAGTGACTGTGTGTACGGTTTTGCAGTGGAACTGATTCGTATAGTTGGTAAAGTATTATTTTTATTGCACAGCACTACCGTCGTGCATCAGTATCGGCAGCAGCTAAATATTGTCGCGTTTGGCTCAAGTGTGAAACATTTTTTGCAGTAGAAGGAGTGTCGCGTAGAACTAATGTCGGTAGAGTTTTTGCCGTATCACCAGTGTCGTGACGCCACATCCCCATGCTTCCTCCAATGGGGATGACGGGCTAGTCTACCAAAATCTGTAAGACATTCCTGCTTTTCCCGACCAGTTCCCATGATACACTATGAAGCGTACCATGAGCATGCTTCGGTGTTGCCCCCATTCCCCAACCGTTGAACACAGCCCTGCGGGTTCCGCACAGTCATAACTTCCGGCTAGGATCCGTTCACGAATATACAGCGGGCCTGGGGGGTTCGCAGATTCCTGCGACCCGGTGTATCCGCACAGATGGCATCGGACAAGAGATTCACATTGGGGCAGGGCGACGATCAGCGAGGAGAGGGATGGGGCCGCAGGCGACGCCGGCAGAGCAATCAGCGATTATCACGGGGATTACACGTGCTGGGAACGAGGCCTGCCGGTCAGATCGGAGCCTGATACAACCAGGGTGGGAGGGCTAGGAGGATTGGGGGATTGGGCCGCCCCGGCCGCGACGCACGCAGCACACTCGCGATTTATCACGGGGATTACACGTTCTCGGCGACACGAGCGTCCTCCGTTCAGATCGGATTCCGATACAACCATGTGCTTTGCGAAGGTCTCTCTCTCTTCTCCTCTCTCTCTCTCTCTCTCTCTCTCTCTCTCTCTCTCTCTCTCTCCTCTTCTCTCTATCTCTCTCTCTCTCTCTCTCTGCTGCTCCTCTCTCTCTCTCCTCTCTCTCTCTCTCTCCTCTATCTCTCTTCTCTCTCTCTCTCTTCTCTCGCTCCCTCTCTTATCTCTCTCTCTCTCTCCTTCTCTATCTCCTCTCTCTCTCTCTCTCTCTCTCTCTCTCTCTTCTCTCTCTTCTCTCTCTATCTCTCTCTATCTCTTCTCCTCTCTCTCTTCTATCTCTATCTCTCTCTCTCTTCTTCTCTCTCTCTCTCTCTCTCTCTCTCTCTCTCTCCTCTCTGTACTCTTTCTTACTCTTTCTCTCTAACAATTTTTTACGCTTTGTTCCTCTCTTTCTTTAAAAGAGATCGCTATTAGAGATACAAGAAACACGTGAGCATCTAAGCATTTTGACCTGCTCAGACATTGTGGATGATTATGATCGTGTAATCAGTGCCCTCCAAGCTGGTAAGACCATTGTTATCGAGGAATGGCATGTCAATAGAACTAGAAAATGTTGACAAAAAACAGAACCGGCCAGACTTAGCAAACTACCTCAGCATTACGCCAAACAGTTTGACCACCACAGGAACAAAGGAGGAGCATGCCCAAAAGGTTTTGATATGCCTTTTAAATAACTCAGCAGATCATGACGTAAAATCACCTGGTTCAGTTTTTCAAGCCGTTGCTTACCTGACATCAGTTTGAACTCGTTGCCATAAGGGAACAGTTGCTTCATTTATGATTTAAGAACTAGGAACATGGCTTCGTTCTCAAAGATCTACATGACCTACTTACCTCTCTTTTATTGCTCACTGCTTCATGCTGAACCCGCGCTTCCCCACCTCTCTAGTTTAGAGTCCGTGCTAATATTTTGAGCCTTGGAGAACACAGCGTATTCAGCTGGATAGAGAAAACGCGGCTAAAGAAAACGCGATCCTCAAGATCTTAGAATCGCTCCACTTTAGTGATCTTCGTCGGAGACTGAGCATTCAACAGTCATCATGGGACGTCATTTGAACGGCGTGTTCATGCTATATTCACTTTTGATGGAAACAGTTTGCTAGTTGCTGCTTCGAACACCGATGTGCCGCTGCAAATTATATTTTAAGCTTATAGTCGGCATGAATCACCGTAGCCTTTCGGCTTCGGCTACGAAATCTTCTGTGTTCCGGGCGGTGCCGCGCAGGCAAGTAACAAGCGGTGCCGCGCACCGGATGTTAGTATGGGAGAGACCGAAGGAATGTACTGATGCTCGTGGTCGGCGCATTTGCAACCTTAGACCCGGTTGGCGCATCCGACAACTTTCCGCTTAGTCTTCTATGTGTTAAGAAGCCTTAAAGATAAAACAACGCATTGGTCGTTGTCCTACACTTACTAAATTGTTTTTAGAAATGTGGTGTCAGGTTGATAATATAATCTAACGGCGCCCTTTCTTAGCGTCTTGAAGGTTGGTTGGTTGGTTACGAAAGCAACTGGCATGTGCCAATGGCGACAAAAGTATCACTCGAGTTCAAAAGCAGCGCAGGTGAAATTTCAAGGATTGCTCAAATTGATTTCAATATAGTCTTTATTGATGTTAGTCTGGATATTACCTTCCTTCAATGGTGATGCCTTGTTTTGAGATGTTAATAAAATGACATTTGTATAGAATGACCTCACCCAAAATGTCAGAGTAGACCATGGCAGGATCTCAGATGACATCACGTTGGCACATGGACGCCGTGGAAGCCAAAAATGGTATGTTCGACTTTGTTCTGACATCTACGCTCTACGGACACCGGGCGATGCGCACGGACGGCGGAAGCGTTGTCTAACATACTTGGGCGTTACTAGGTGAGCCGTGAGAGAGATTCAAGTTTCCAGCAAATTGATGGATAACTGGACATGACGTGTAGGTTGGTGCATTGTTTCTTCATTCCGAAATCAATTGTGGAGTCTGCGGGGTGCTGAACAAACTCCACCGTTGCTGCGAAAGGCAGGGAATCTGCCCGAGTTGGCGACGGCTAAAAGCCTGTCAGGCCATTTGACGCAGTAAACAACTATCTCGTCATCTTATTCCTTTATCATCGCGCTTCGGCTTTACACAACTGCCATCACGTTTGCAGGCCTTGCCCGGGGTGTTGTCGGCAACTTGGTGCATCGGAGTGGCCAACATGCTCGCCCAGAGGTTGATAAGTTATTCTCAGAGGTAGGTGAGTTATTCCCAGAGGTTAGTGAGTTATTCCCAGCGGTCATTGAGTTATTCACGCCGTCCCTTACTGTTGGGTATGTGGGTCAGTGAGTTATTCACACCGTCCCTTACTGTTAGGGATATTGCCTCCAAGTCAGTCTTGGAACACTGGATAACCTACTGTATGGATTTGAAAGGCAGTCGACTGCTCCAGGATTTTTATCGCTGGCTTACAATTTATGTTGGCCTGCACATCATCGAACACTGCGTTACGGTTTTGATGGTGCCTTCATAGGTCAGGTCAAATGGAAATATTCAACTGCTTCCAATAACGCGTACTCTTCCTTCCATATGGGAATTCGAGAGACGTGAATTCCAGAACGCATATAAATGCGCGCAGAGTGCATTTAAATGGCAAATAATGATTGCAGCTGACGTCAAGTTTTAGTTTTTTTAAAGGTTGCATGGCGCGCGTCGCCACATGGTCCTTATGGAGCGGAAGCGACTTGAGTTGGCATTTCAGTGTCCAGACGTTTTAGCGCCTTGCAGGAACCAAACCTGGGTCACCCGCGTGAAAACTGACCACTCTCCCAACTGAGGTATTCCGTTCCAAGAAATTCAAACAATGCGGTATTAGAGCACGGGCTATATTCCCTTTTTGGTTTCTT